CAAATGCAGTCTCTCGTTGGGGACATTACCATGAATTAGGTCACAACGTAAGTATATTAATGGTTTGGCAATATTTTTTCATGACATCTCGAGATATTGAAACACAAAGTTCCAACGAGGAGAATGGACCTATGATCAATCCGGTGAGCTCACCAACAACATTTACTCTCTCTATTTGGAAGAAAATTTTCCAGAAAATTCCTTCACCTATGCACGTGCTTATAATCCTCCTCGTGGTTTAGAAAAAGAATACAAAAACAATAATCAGACATTTAAAGGAGATTGGACCTCGGCAGGTGTTCTGTTCTATCTCGATCAAATTCAAGCATTTGGATGGGTTGCCATTAGAAAAACATTTGCAAGTTATTACAATTCAGAACAGAAAGGTTTTGGAGCATTACCTCGTAATGACGATGAAAAGAGAGATCAATGGGTTGTGAGATTGGCAAATATTGTTCAAAGAGATCTTTCACAATTTTGTGATGCATGGGGATTTCCAATCTCATCGAGTGCAAGAACAAACATGTCAATGATTCCGGCGAAATGGATGCCCAATGATTTTATCATTCATTGTAGCGTTGCGAGATTTCCGGATTCTCCATGTGCCTCTCTCACCATTGAAAATAACAAATTCTCAACAATCTCGAATTATGTTGTGAAAATTGTGACATGGGCTCCAGTAAGACATTTCTATGGAGAGAGATTTGTTTTTAGATTTAGTGGATTGAGTGTGCCACAATCTTTTGTGAATAATACGATGATTCCTATAACTTTGCTGGATGGAACGACAACTTTGGATACCACCGCTAGTATTGTAACTGTCTCAAATCAAGAGTTCACAATGACGATTCTGGCAAAGGAATATATCAAATCAGGACAGGTTTTGAGATTTTCATTCCAGGCAAAGAACAGTGCGCAAATTGGTGAATTTCAAACATTTATTAAGGTTGTAGATTCAAAGAAAGCTCTGGTCAATGCTTATGAAAGGCCTATTGAATTCTCAAATAAGATTACCAGAGATGGAAGTTCATATGGTTCACCAAAGCTATCGAGAAGTACAGCAGCAAGTTACGGATCGTTACAATTTGGTAGTATCTATTCTGTTGCAACAACTTTAGCATTAATCATGATGGCTCTAGTAATGGTTCTTGTAAACGAATAAAACTTACATGCAACCTAAGTGTGAAATAATGTTTGGACAAACCATATAACTCAAACTATTGATGAAACAACTATTTGTTCTTATTATCTGAAAGAAAATTTTCATTTTCATGGAGAAGGATATTGAGGCCTTCCTTTTTCCTTCTGTCCGCGACCATTGATCTGTTAGAAGTCGCAAAAAAATCATCCAACTTTGTTCGCATCTCACAAAAAAATATCTTTGACATCGTCCACCAAGGAATGTCAACCAACCACCGACGCTCTGTAGGTGCAGGAGAGGAACCGAGTCATCATCAGCGCTTAACACGTTCTCTCTTTGTGTTGGCGATCGCTTTGTGGTTGGTATTGTTGTTTGTTGATGGAATTGTCATCACGGCAACAACGATGAGAAATGACCCCACACTAACCATTTCATTCATTCCATCCACGACCTATGTGAATGATACTTCAGGAAAGCCAAAACTCTCTGTGACGATATCAAACTATCTTTCGCTCTTGCAAGCAAACTTTAGTTACCAAATATTTCAAGAAGTGGGTGGTTCTAATATTTCAATCACACCGCAATTATCAACTTCCACACTGACCGCAATTTGGGACAACATTTTTTCTCCTCCAAGGTTTGAAATTGTGTTACCACCAGTGTTCACCATGGCTGGAAATTACTCGGCTCAAGTGTTAGCCAAGAAATTGAATGGTCAAAATATCAATTCATGGTCCACGAACAAAATGATCATCAAAAGCTATGACGAATTTACATCTTTTGATAACTTGAGAAAATTGTCATTGGTTGATTTGGAACAAGCATCGACAAATTCCTTACTTTATGCATTGACTTCAAAAAAACAAAAATTATTGGACTCACTAACGATGGCTCTCTGTGCCATGAATCCAAATACTTCATCGCTCCATGATACCAAGTCATTGGTCAACTCATTTAAGTCTGTTTCTTCATTTAAAAAGGATTTAACACAAATGAGTGTTGGAGGAATTACTGATTTCATAAGCGATTATTCAAAAATTATGGTTTCTCTTTCGAAGAATTATGCATCCAATCAATCTTCCAATTCTGAGGTTGATTCCATAAGTAGTTATATTGATACGGTCCAAGATGTGTTGGATATTATATCAAATTGCATGACGGCATTGCAATCATATACCAATGACAAGTATAGCTCAGTAATCGAAAATATGATTTCAGTGACAGCATTGACGACAAACACGACAGACCCACATGTTTTGAAAAATGAAGCTTTCGAGGTAGTGATATTACCAGATTTGACGAATCAAACAAGTAACCAACCTCTTGCACTCAATGGAAGCATCACCATTGCAACGCCAGATTCATTAATTTCCAAAACTGCTCAATCAGGAAAGAAATTATCATTAGGAAGTGTCAAGTATTTATATAGCTCAAAGATCGTACCAAGTCAAACCGTACAATTTGAATTTAACTCGACCACAACAACAATCATTGCAGATACTTCGCAAGATTTGTTGAATACTATTCAATCTCTTTCGAACAATTTCACAAGCAATTCCACCCTATCAACCAATAATTCATCATCATCTACCCCATTTGTTCGTGTTTCCATTTCTCCAATTATATCTGTGGAATATTTACAGAATGGGTTGATTACTGCTCTCACCAATTTGTCAAAACCTATCCGAATGAACTTTCCAGCTGTCAACACTTCCATGATTTCTCAAATTGAACAATTTACGAAACCTTTCAACCTCAAATATAACTTTATATGTATGTATTGGAATGAAACTCTGAAGGCATGGAAATCGAATGGATGTGTCACACTTCAGAAATCGAGTGATTCAATTACATGTGAATGTGATCATACTACCAAATTCACTTCATTTATTGAGTTTTCACAAGCAACGCGTACAAACTTCTCATCAGACCCACAATTAATGGCTCAAATTATCATTTCATACATCTTTATCATTTGCATTGTAGTAATCTTTGTCGGATTGCTTATCATGTCAAATATCAAATCTT